GGCGGCCTCCCCGCCAACATACACGCCGCCTCGAAGAAGACGGTGCGATATCCGCGGATGACCCTGATGGCAACGGTGCGCTGCGGCCGGCGCAGGAACTGAGCCATAGTGGCCTGGTTGCGCGGCTCAGCCCATACAGGTGCACCGTACAGGGCCATCGATCGCACCCCCCCGCGTAGAGGCGGCGCACAACCTGATCCGGGTCCCCCAATATTCGGGAGCAGCCGGCTCAAAGAACCGGCCGTCCTCATCAATCGGGGGACCAGCTCCGCAAAGTGAGCACGAAAAGCCCACCGGCTGTCCAACACGAGGCCGAGGTACTTCAACTACACCCCGACCCCTATCCGGACGCCTCCAACCACGATGTGGGCGTCAACGGGTGGCGCCCTCCGCGGCCCGTGAAACCACAGAGCCTCGGATTTACTGAGCGCCACGTCGAGACCCAGCCTCTTTATCCTTCCGACGACGAGGGCCACTCCCGTTGTGACGAGACGGGCAGACTCTCTATAATCATCCCCCCGGGCCACGACCAACGTGTCGTCCGCGTAACAAATAACGCGGAGGCCCGAATAGTGAACCTTGGACAAGATTAGACAACACAGGAAGAGTGTGATATTTTGTATGTAATATGTTCGTTGGAATCGAATATAAATTCATTCAACTGGCAGAAACATACACGTTATCGGTTCATAATCAATTTAAGAACTAAATAATATTTTCAAAGTAGCGGAAGTTGTGTTTTCGGTTTTCGTTACATTTCCCAGATTATATTTAGGTTTAGTTTACATTTACATTTAGATTACATTTTACATACAAACCTGTTCACCGAATATCGTTGTAATATAGACAAAATTGGACAATTGTCTAAAAATGGTAATCTCCAAAAATTACAAATGTGTAGTAGATTTTACATTTAATAGGCAACGTTTTGGTTTTATCCCTGGCATCGCTAGCGACAATAGTATCGTCTGTCTATAGCAACAAAAAGAAAATTGTCTTCGCTTATTGTTTCGCGAAGTATCTCTACGGCTACTATAAAAAGAATGAATACGAAAAATTCAAGTTCACAAATTACATCCCGCATTCAAATAAATTAAAAACAATCAATGCACGATGTGTGTGTACAAGATCGCCGTTACAATAATTGTTCGTTCTGCATAAAATTTACACGTAATTTATACGTAATTAATATGTAATAGTCACGTACTCTGCACAACTTTTTTTTATTGGACTTTGTGTGTTATGTAATGAAGTTGAGGCGTGACGTTACGCCTCAACGACCGTGATCACCAGAAACCTTATTTGCTTCTTTTAATGTAGCAAAAGCGTATATACCTACCTACAAGAGTATAGCAATAACTAACATTGGTGCAGTGGTTGATATAATAATACAGGATCCAGATTTAGATTTGGTCGCAATCAATCAGTATTTGTAAGATTTTTGGTGTTCAGTACGGCTCCTCTTGTTGACGAATGTATTTTCGGTAAAAGGAGAAAATCTTAGTTTTCGTTTGATGAAAGTAGGTGTGATTGTATTTGTGATTGTACTGCTATCGTCAAATAAATCAGGTATCTTTATCATGCCTTATAGCCGGAGCTTATATCTACAACGTAAATGCGGCCATCCACCTTCAGATATGAGCTCTAAGGCCTCATATAGTTACAACGGCTGCCCAACCTGTCAAACCGAAACGCATTACTGCTTCACAACAGAAATAGGCAGGGTTGTGGTACCTACCCGTGCGAACTCACAAGAAGTCCTACCACCAGTAGTTACGCAAATTATGATTTTGCAGCTTTTTACCTGACGAAAATCAAAACGACGGCGCTCAATTTGACACTCTAAGCTACCTAGTTTTGAACGAATTAAGAGCGATCACTATCGTAGTTTTGTAGCAAAAAAAGTAATTACCTTGCGGCGAAAATAGATTAATGGTGGTGCGAACCTATTAAGTAGCGCCAAATCAATGAATAATACCGTCTAAGCCAACAAAATAAAAAGAATTAAACAAGAGAACAACTAACCATACTAGTGCTTTCGGATCTATTGCTTCCATATCATTGATATATAAAAATTTTAATACAGTTTTTTTAATACGTCAATGTTCCATATAGGTTGATTTACCACACTGAAATAAGTAACAAACAGTGAAAGTCAGAATGAAAAAAAAGTTAAAAAATTTCATATAAGGATTTTGACACGGATCGCGACGCGAACGTGCTACAAAATCCAGTTCTTGAAGTTCAAAAATGGTCACAGCTGATAACAAAAAAGATTATAATCAAACACACGTCGTGTACTAATTGACTTGCTTTTAGTTTTTTTCAAAAAATATGTTGTACGTGACCTTTTTCGTTTTTCATTGCACTGTAGAAATGTAGGTTAAACCGGATGTTTTTTAATTTGTTAAAAAAAACGCTAAGTCCGTTATAACTTATTTCTAGCTAATAAACTTACATCTATTTTATTGAATACAATTACAAAGCATCGATTAAATAATAATAAATAATAGTTATCAACGCCAATATGTACTATTTACAATTTTTAATAAATTAAGTGATTTTTAATAATTTTTTAACAAAGTTTTAATACATATAATAAGACGTGCACACTAAATTTTAAATGATGCCATATAGTTCATGCGTATCTATATAGTTTCGTAAAAAACTGTATTTTAATTGAATTTAATGCAATTTTATAATAATTAGTTATATATTATTTTGAGAATAAACATAACGTGGAATTAAAACATTAATAAAATTATCAAAGAAGCTCTTCTTGTAAAACCACAAATATTTCATATCATGTTTTTACGCGTAACTGTGAGTCATCTAAAAGTGAAATTTCATGCACGGTAATAAAGAGTTTCATTTTGTACGTGACTGGTTATGATTAGGGTAGAATTTCCTAAATACGTACTTACATACGTGATCGAACGTGTCTGCGAGTTCTGCGTCTTTTCCCATTATAACGATGATAGAACGGTGATTAACCTGACGGGTCGATGAAGTGATTATAATACTGTAATACCATTCTAGTCTGTACTGAGACTGATTTGTATATTTGTGTTCTCGTTTCGGAAGTTGTTAACATCGATGACCGGTGATTTCGCTATGTTGAATTTTTATATTATTTACCGTTGAAATGTGGGTGGTACCTACTTGAAATTCTAACGTACACTACAGTGTAACATTCAAATCTATCATGTGTAATTTATTGTGTTAATCTAACCTCAACAATTTATATCTATAGTAGTAAATTTTAAATATATTTTTTCAGTTTTATTAAACTAAATCCTTTGGCGAATGATGGAATGAGATAAACCAGAAAAAGGTGGTCACAATTATTATTGTTAAACAATAATGTTGATCCGAGCGGATTTGTGAAAGCGCGCGAATCGTAATTTTACACCGAGCGTCGGTGTCGTCCGATTTTTTTGAACTTCGCAAAAATCCACCAACCGTGAAATTTAATTTTCTAAGCGCTCTCAATCCAGTCACGTAAGTAATCAGAATGCTCACTGGTCTCAATCCATTTTAAATAATTAAATCAAATTGAAAATTCGCGTTATTGCGTCGATGCGGAATATTTTACTTAAAAAAACAGGCTCACTGATTTACTTTCTCCTTTTCTCCGGGTTAGTAAATTATGTTTTTGAGCTGGCAATACACTTTCAAAATACGTTCTTTTCCTACCTTTATCCTAACAGTGTTCGTAATAATTAAATTAATTATTAAGTGAATTTATTCACTTTAGTTTATATTCAGCCAGAAACGATTTCACAATTTGTCACCAAAACCTTCAAATTTTTTTTTTACTTTCGCAGGTAAACCATTCTTGATCCATCTCATGGTGATTATCACCAGTAAGCCCTCAGTCTCTATCTTTATTGCAATGTGATAACCGGCCTCGTCATGCTTTATGCCTTAATTAAAAAAATTTAAATGGCTCCATGCTGTCCAGTGATTCGTTAAAAATTATACCGACGTTAGAAATTATGTACCTACCGTACAATTGTCATGAACGATTTCAAGGAAGTAAAATTGAGGTAAAATTGTGCGGTTCAAAAATCATATTAATTTGAATAAGATTGGTGGATAAAGCGGATTATGAGATCGAAGAGGTAAATGTCACCGTCTTGTTAATTTTTGCCGTAAACCTTGCAGTCTTGTGATACGTCCGTATCGTGATATGTACGTATTGTGATACGTCCTACCACATGTAAAAGTAAGATAATGTAAGTGAAAAGGAATACTTTTTATAATTTTATTGTAGTTCTAAAGGTACTATAACATATACATAGATATGTGCACGAAAACAATCGTGCATTATGCATTTAGGTATTATATACATATTTATATGAAAATCGGAGGTCGAAGTACTTGTAAAATGAAATGTATCGTGAGAACTGAAGCATCTTACAAAAATTTGTTTCCTTATAAATAAACAAAAATTCATTTAGTTATGTAAATAAATTTTTTTTATGTCTATATTATGATATGTTAGAATTAATAATAATGCTCGTTTTATTACCAACTGACAAACTACTTTGCTTTAAGAATAATTAAAATAGCGGTCGTTCATATTATTATATCAAACGAAGATATATACATATATCAAACTAGCTGACCCGGCAGACTTCGTAGGGCCTCAATCGATAAGTAAAAGACCTAAACTTTTGTATAAAATAATCTTAAAACAAACAAAAGGAATCCGTCCGATGGGGGACACATCAAAGGAAAAATGAAATTGTTATTTTTATTTAATTCCGAGCATTTTCATAAAATATATATACATATCTACCTTTTAAACCTTCTCTGGACTTCCACAGGTAATTCAAGACCAAAATTAGCCATATCGGCCCAGCCGTTCTCGAGTTTAAGCGAGACTAACGAACAGCAATTCATTTTTATATATGTATAGATAGATATAACGAGTTATTCATTCCTATCGATATGTAAATAAAGTAATAAGCGATAACGTGTGATGAGTGACATACCAGTATAAGAAGCACGAGAGCGCAGTGGCCGGCGCGCGTCATGCTTGCGGTCTGCCACACTCGAGTGCGGAGCCAACCGTTAAGCCTATCTGCCCCGATTACCTTACTGAAGTGAATAGTTTACTACAAAAAACCTGGTAAATTGCTGCCCATCGAAATAACAACGAAAAATAACGAAACAATCCAATAAAAAAAACACTTTGATAATTTTTACTCTTCAAAGTCACTGGGTTAACTTAGTGTAAACGTAGCTTGATTATTTTGAATTCGACCGATATTGCCGCGTATTAAATGCGTGTCTGCGTGAAAGCCGCGTGGTGCGCTCACGGGGTCTCAACTCTGGACTGCGCTGAGCCGCACTCGTCTTGCGCTGTCGATGATGGTGGAACAGTTAGCCTCCGTAGGGGAGGGTACCACCTGCCGTATCAGCGTACCTTACAGTTCTCACGACACGACCGGCGATCCGTGCGATTCGAGAATCCACCGATCTACACGGTTGATTGGCCTCGGATTAGGAGTATAATTGGACCGATAGTGTCAGTCCTTGACGCGCTCAATANTGAGCCGCATTCGTCTTGCGCTGTCGATGATGGTGGAACAGTTAGCCTCCGTAGGGGAGGGTACCACCTGCCGTATCAGCGTACCTTACAGTTCTCACGACACGACCGGCGATCCGTGCGATTCGAGAATCCACCGATCTACACGGTTGATTGGCCTCGGATTAGGAGTATAATTGGACCGATAGTGTCAGTCCTTGACGCGCTCAATACCGATTTGTATGGAGAAATTGCAAATTTCTTTAGCACTGACTTAGTGAGTTTTTCGTGATGCTGCTCAGTCTCCGTGGTCGGGTCATCCGTGTCACGTTTAAGTCAATAGTTTCTCTGCAAATGAATCAGACATAAAACCGATACTCAGATAAGATAACTGAATAGCTTTATTACTGATCGTTCTCGTTCATCAAGACTATCGATATGATTCTGTATGAGACCGCTATAATAGAAAGTCAATCAATTGAACAGATGAATGCTGATAAAAATTTAAGATGATCAAATACGTGAGCCAGGCCTAATCGATGAATAGTTTGAAACGTTTCTTTCTTTGATGAGTGATATTTAAGAGTCGACTAGCTTTCGTTAAGCTTAGGTATACCGCAATTTAGTTTCCTTAGTCCCGGAGGTCTGTTCCGTAAACAAGAACAAGTGAATAATTGTCGTTGTATGTTGTTCCGCTCAGAACGACGGTGATATAAAAATACCGTATTTATTTGGTTTTTGCGGTAAATAATCATTTGCAGAACAACCCAATTCAAGAGTAGCATCTACTGGCAAAAGCCCGCACGAATGGAGATCTCTTTTGACTGAAATCATGACCTTTAAGCGTCACTGAGCCTTTGTAATAAGTCAGCAAATAAGCGATCAATCTTTTATTTACATTTTACGTAACACGATAATTACAATAAACGGTCACGCGGTATGCACTCCGCTTAAGGAACTCTTGTGCTGTATAGTATAATGCAACACTTTTTAAAATACTTTTTACTGATGGTATTCTGAGCTCATACGGTTATATACCTAATACTGCCACGGAGCAATCATGTCTTCAGTTTGAAGGAGAAGATAGTCATTGGAGTTTTCGGCATAATGTCTCTAAGTAGGGTGTTATTCACGTTATGATCTATTAGCTTTGGTAGCCTCTTAATATCAGAGGGACCGTGAGTTAAACTCATCTCGTGCATTTCTTATCAGCGCCAAAGTTTTAGTAGATGCAATGGAATACAATTAAAATAGCTAATTAAGCCGAGTCTAGTTAGTGTTACGCTTCAGATCATGTTAAATTGGGTAATGCATTTCGGTATGTAACTGTAAAAAAATACAAGACAAACTGTAAATGGTTCCCTTTGCGAAAACGAGAATGAATTGTTAATCTCAAGTAAACGGAAAACAATATTTTCCAAGATAGGCATTAGTTTTACGGTGTTTTTTTTTTTTTAATTTGGTCGTTTCTTAGGTTATTGGCGTGTAGCGAACAGATATGCCTCATGCTCTCAGTAAAGTATGTGTATCCCACGTGTTTATTTATTGTGTTAAACTTACAAATTATTTTATTGTGTGATGAATGAAGCAGTAGGCACTTGCTTGTGCTCCTGGCTTTGCTGATGTATATAAGCGACCGTAACTACTTATTGATTTTTATAATACGATGTTATTTCTTCACCGTGGAAGTCGATCGTGAACACGTGTAAGGACGTATTTCTCTAGAATAACTAGTACCTACCTGCCTCACTAGATACTAGTAAGCTGGGCGCCTTAATCCATGAAGTCACGACTACTATAACACGTAAATGGATAAAAATACTTTTTTCACTGTCGTCGAAAACAGATGAGCCATCAACCCAGTTAATGGTGATTGACCACCGATATACCAGGATTTTTATTTTTATTGCTTAGATGGGTGGACGAGCTCACAGCCCACCTGGTGTTAAGTGGTTACTGGAGCCCATAGACATTCACAACGTAAATGGTCCACTCACCTGGAGATATAAGTTCTAAGGTCTCAGTATAGTTACAACGGCTGCCCCATCCTTCAAACCGAAACGCATTACTGCTTCACGCCAGAAATAGGCAGGGTGGTGGTACCTACCTTCGCGGACTCACAAGAGGTCCTACCACGAGTAAAAAACTAAAAAAACCAACCAATATACTAAAATTTTGGTGACCAGTCTCAATTCAGCAGTCCAGTAACCGCCCGGGGAGGACTCACAAGAGGTCCTACCACCAAAACAATAGCCACCGATATACCTAGATAACAGTTTAGCTGCTCGTCACCGCCTTTTATAGCACAGGAAAACAAACAAAATATAGTTTACTCCAAATATATGAGTACTAATTAATTTTAATTAAAAAATATTCTTAACTGTTTTTCAGTTTACAAATTTTCAAGATATTAGATAAGTAGAGCAATTGGTTAGATTTCGTGAAGCAGGTGGGTACCGCAGCTGAAGGCAGCGTCGCGGAACAGCGACAGATTCGGTCGTGCCCTTTATTTTTGAGCACGAAAAGCTAATGTTTACCGTTGCCGGAAAAATACCATCGTCGTAGTTCTCTTTATGTAACACCGAATCAAATTAGGATTACGGCAAATCATGTTATTCTCGGTTGACTGCAAGAATGTGACCATAGTACATATTGAACTGGATCGGATTCGGCAATGAATATTGTCATTATATATTGACCTATCGTTAAAAATGCTCAGGCCACCGAAAAAAGTAACAATCAATAGTTATGCAAAAAATAAATAGAGACTAAGCTTTGTTTTACATTCAATAGGCCTAAACTGTTTTAATATTACTTAAATTACAATTTAAGCTAAAGTGCAATGAAATTCTACTTAAACTCCTCAAGCAGTAAATGTTTATTAACTAATATGAAAATGGATGTATGTTGGTTTGATATTGATGAACTACGACCCCTTTTGTTTGATATGTAATTAAAACTTTGTTTAAGAGAATATTTGTGTCATGATACTTCTTGCGCACAATGATTAGAAATATCATCATATAATCATCAAATATATCGTTCATACGAGTTTGGTCAAGGTATACCTAGTGGCAGTATAACATCACACATTTACCTATAGTCGTACCGCTCGTGGTTGGCTAGCAATATATGTCTATTATAGATTATATTAAAAGACTATTAATTTTTTGTTACTGGCAACTGGAAACAACTTGAACAAATAAATATTGTAGAGTTGTCAAGCCCAGTTGCTTAAACAAACGATTTATTAAATCAGTACAAGATTTAATAAAGTATATTGATAGGCTATTTATTACTTCTACTAAGAATAATCCTATACATGCTACATTATTATTAGTTATCGAAGGATTTAAGTAACTAACTTATTCCATTAAAAAAAACTATAATACTCAAACAAATATTAACTGTATTGTTATTGATATAAATAATATACTAGATCTGTTCCACTTTTTACGTAAATCACGTAAATTTAATGTAATTCCACGAAAGCCTGGTTTGGTTTATTAAGTTTTTCATAGAAAAGAACTATGATACAGTCAACTAGATTTGAAGCCTACCGCTAAAATTCGTCACAGTTACCTACATAATAGCAATATAGACGCTAAAATATTTTCCGTCGTTCAAAAATGAGCTCGTTTTTGCTTCTTGTTAAACATAAATGTAACAAGGTGCATTAGCCGCGGTTACAGTAACACTGTTTGAGCCCATTACGGCAAAAAATTCTAAACCGCTTGCTTGTTTAAAATTTAACAGTATATCTTGTGCTAAAACATTTAAAATAAATAAATTTACTATTAAAAATAACTTTTGAGCGGGTCCAATACAAAACATGTATAAAATTTAAAGAGAAACGGCGATAAACATAACTGTTTTGAAAAGCGAAATGAATAAATGTGGGTTTTGGAGTCGGATCGTAAAATTTGCACGGTACGATAAGATCCCCTATAGAAAGCTTACATAGCGTAAATTTTATGAAATTTTTGTTTTCATTCAACACCTCGTGCAATTCATCAGTATTTTAATTTATTTAACGTTATTTTGATGACCCCCCTGATGTGTGGCATTTACGGAAGCTCAAAAGAAACTCTGTAGAAGCATCAATTTTATTGGAATTCGAAGGTTGGTTGGTTTGGTTGGCTTGGTTTCGAAGTCGATACGGGTATGACACTAGAGTAGTAAGTAGTACACAGCAGAGAGAAAAAAGTGTAAAAAGTTTACATATTGTGTTTCAAAGAAATTCTAAGTTGCATTTTATGTTTAAGCATCACGTGAAAGACATAATTACAAAACACAATGTCTCTGTAGATTCATAATTACCAAATTATCAGTGAGGACAGGATTAGCAAAAACTCTTGTCTATAGGTGAAGCCGAAGTAAATCTTCAATGTCTTTCATTAGAAATTAGCTGAAACTAACGCAAGTAACGCAAGAAAAGTGTCAAACACGAGATCATTTTTAGTTCTGTAGACTAATGGAGCTTTTAAGCCCCTCAAGCACATGTCACCGTCCTCGTCGAACTTGTCGATTTCGGTTCTTTTTTTTT